TTACTTTTAATTTTTCGTTTAAATTCATTAAGTGGCAGACTTAATATCGACTGTGGGATTTTATTATACATGCGCACACCTTGCCCAATGAACGACCTGTTTACTTTTTGTAAGCGAAACAATGGCGTAGTTAGTTTGTCCTTATTTCTAGTATTTAGTTTATGTCTGTCACTATTCTTTAGATAACTATTAATATTATTTTTAACATACAAAATATTACAATAAATATATTGAGACGCAACAGTGAGTATATTAATCTCTTTAAAAAGGTCTCTGAGTGTATTCAGGGCTCCGATGTTATAGATTGCTCGGACAGCTCTTTTTAGGCTTTTTTAGGCTCAGGTAATTTTGTGACTGTTTTTTTATGAAATTTCAGTCACGAAAGTATACAGCGTGTCGTTACCATCGCGACAATAAATGAACACACGTCTAACGCTACTTGCCAATAATCATAGAAAAATATTAACGTTAAACAAAATCCATAATTAAACAAAAATATTTTTCAAACAAATTAATTAAGTAAAAAAGAAACAAAATTTGTAACATCCTATACAACTCGCGCCACAGCGTCGTATTACAAGCCTCTCCTTCTGACAGTATGTTTTGTCTCTTTTAAATTCATTCAACCCATTCATATGCTTTGTGACCTTTACAAATGAACTTTACGTTACGCTTTTATAGGTGTGTTACGCTTTTTAAGGGTGTTCTAAAATTCTTTGTTTTGGAAAATTTAATAACTCTGTAAATATTGATGTTTAAAGAATTTAAATGTTTAATACAATTTTAAAAACTTATCCCCTATATGTGTGTTCATTTATTGTCGCGATGGTAAGGACACGCTGTATATGAGGTTAATATACTAAATAAATAAATATCATTCTTGTCAAAGCAAAATAACTGTAATAACGTTAAAGCTTCAAATTATTCTTGTTTTATCTAATAAGCAGGGAATGATCTTTGCGTTTTATTTTCGTTCAAGCTCCGCAATTTAACGTTTTAAGAGGATGTGTTATACGAGTATCGAGGATAACCGTTATGGTTAAAGCCGATTTAAAGATTGAAATTGATTCAATTTTCGTTCCATACAACTATTTTAGTCCGGTAATGGTAGACTTAACAAAATTGTTCTGTATTATGTCATCAATTCAAATATAACCTTCGGAGCTATATATATCGCAGTTTATGAAGATCATATAAACAACTAAAATTTCGGGAAAAACATGAAGCACGCTGTTGAAAATTCTTGATCGCTACAATTTTAACCATACTTAAAGTTTTCTACCAAGATCGATATGTCTAAATATTGGCAAAACTGTTTCGAATGCTTTATATTAATTTAATGTTGCTATACTATTTCCTAATAAACGTTAAACGACATGGAATATAAATAACAGAAGTTACTTACTGTTTTTTAAACAATGCTCCGTAGTCATTAATTTAAAATTATCACTGCAGGATGGATTTTTTTCTTATATTTCCAATATTCCCGCGAAGTGATTAAAAAACAGAATAAAATCATGTATAAAAACCGTTTTGAGAAAGTAAAACTTATTTCTAAAGGGTTCACCGTATAAGGTTGCACCGTACATCTTGTATCTTGTATTAACTGATGTTTTTGCTTTCAGTCCCGAGACTATTAAAGCTTCATCGGACGCAGAACCGGTGGGCTAGCCAGAACCCACGGGTTTGGACCCTCCGCTATGGGTAGGGTCGCGCATGTGCTCATGCGTGCGTTTAACTACTATGGTGTGTCATCTAAGGGCCGTCGAGGTCGCCGGTTCGGACCGAGACCCCGACGGCCGTCGACTGTGCATTTAGCTAATCGGTGGCTGGGAGCGGTGAGAACCGCCCCGGAACGCGGGTGTACCTTGTGTACGCGTTGTGTGGGTCTCGCCGTGCTCGGAGGCGAGGGCGAACTGGTGTGATTGTTGTTACACTAACTGTGGGTGTAGTGTTATCCGGCGGGACCCCCGGCGGTGGGTCCATCGTGTCTAAGTCCTCTTCGTCGACCGGGTCGATGAGGACGTTTCGCGGGCGACGCTTGTTAACGTTCGCGTTAGTGTCCGGTAGGTAGTTTGCTGCGCTTACCACCAGAGGGTTGGGATGATGCTGGGCTCTATCGAAGAACCGTTTTGTCAAATCTTTAAAATGAGCGCGAATCGTCGGGAGTCTGCAATCGCTGTGCAGGTCGACGTTGCGCTGATACCATTGCGCACCGGTTGCGCGGCGGATAAACTTACTTTGGACTACTTGCAATTCGTCAATGCGCGTAGGATTTATGTGTGCGAAGATCATGCATGCGTAGGACATGATTGGCCTTACGCAAGCTTTATATAACAATAATTTGTGCCTTAAGGGCATTTTACTATGTTTGTTCGTTAAATTGTGTAGCCGGCCGGAGACGAACGCGGCTTTGTTTCGGACTTGATTGATGTGCGTAGTGAAAGTCATACGCGAGTCGAAAGTGACTCCTAGATATTTGACCGTTTTCTCCCAGGGGAGAGTTTGGCCGTATAGTGATATTTGCCCCAACTTTCTGTACTGGCGAGGACCTTTGTAACGGTGTGGCGGATGGGGGTTGGGGGTGCTACGGGTGAAGTGAATCGCCACACTTTTCTCTGGGTTAATATCGATTCTCCATTTGCGGAACCAATCGCCGAGGCGGTCGGCGGCGCTTTGGAGTCGAGTCGTTAATTGGCTGAGGTTGCGATCTGAGTAAAAGAGCGCCGTGTCATCCGCGAAAAGCGCGAGATTGACGTGGGGGTCTCTGGGTATGTCGCTCGTGTAGAGCGTAAATAACAGGGGTGAGAGGCAGGAGCCTTGTGGTACGCCGGCCGTGAGGCGGCGGCTTGTGGAGAGGGTGCCCTCGACTCGATATCGAAAAGAGCGGTTCAACAAAAAGGCCCGGATGGTGTGTACGAGCCTATCTGGCACTTTGAGTGTGTACAGCTTGTAAAGAAAGCCGTTGTGCCAGACCTTGTCGAATGCCTTTGCGACATCGAAGAAAAGAGCCCCTGTACTGAGATGTTTCGGGTGGTTTAGGCCTTTTAGGATGTGCTCCGTTAGGCGGTATAACTGATCTGGACAGGAGTGTCTAGCTCGAAAGCCGAATTGTTCCGTCGGCAGAAGGCCGTTGGAAAATACGTGCTCTTTGAGCCTGTTTAACAAAAGCCGCTCGTAGAGCTTCCCCAGACAACTGAGGAGGCTGATGGGACGATAGCTAGAGGGCTTATTGGCTGGTTTATTCGGCTTGCGAATGCCGATAACCGTGGCTTGCTTCCAGTCGTCCGGAAAGGAGCAACTGGAGAGAAGCGTATTGAAAATTGTCGCCAGTAAACAGATAAGCGGCCCAGGGAGAGCTTTTAGAATCTTATTACTTATATTATCTGGGCCCGGGGCGGATTTCGGTTTTAAATTTTTAATTATATCTTGGACCTCTTCGGGGGTCACTGAATTTAGAGGTTCGCCTTCCGGTGGAAGCGCAGCCCTAGTCTCGATTAAGCGGTCCACCTCCGTTAGGTGGGCCGAATCGGTGTGTTCGCGCGATGGCGTACATTGCTGCTCTAGGTTGTCCGCAAGGCATTCGGCTTTTTCGGAGTCATCTAGGGCTACTGAAGCGCTATTAGAACTAACTAACGGCGGTAGAGATTCGCGGGGGTCTGCTTTCAGACTGCGGGCCAACCGCCAGTAGGCGGTGTGCGATGGCTCGATGTCCTCTAGGAGAGTGTCCCACGTTGTATGTCGGTGTTCCGATACACGATCTTTGACTTCTAGCTGAAGGCGTCGAAGTAGAGTACGGTTCGATTCCGATCGGTATCGGTCGAAGGCGCGTTTAGCTGCATTTTTTTTTGTCTAATTAGCAGTCGTAGGTCGGGCGGAAAGTTAAACCGTCGGTCGCCCGACAGTTTCACCGTCCGTTCCGAGTCTGTGACTGCGGAAGTAATGGTTTCACGGAGACTCGCTATCGCTCGATTTGCGTCATCGAACGTAGCTATCGTCTCGGGTAAGTCTACTAAGTTCTGGGGGTCCAAGGCCTTGAGTTTGACCTCAAGACGATGCCAGTCCACTACGGATTTGGTCGGAGGGACCGCGCCGGCGTTCTGGCCCAGATTACACAGGACGGGCCTGTGGTCTGAGTCTAGTTCATGGATTGTCTCTATCGACTCGATGTCGAGCGAGACCTCCCTGAATAACATTATGTCTAGGACACTCGGTGACGCGTGCTGGTAGTTGTCCACCGTAGGATACCTAGTGGGAGTCGCGGGAGCGACTATGCTGAAATTTAGGTTATCGGATAAGCTAAAGAGATGCTTTCCGTTGTTGTTTGGGATGCTGTTAATGTCCCATGAGCCGTGTTTGCAGTTTAGATCTCCTGCAATTATCACGGAAGGGCCTAAGTTTAGAAGCGTATCTAGGTCGCTTTGGAGGAGGGTTCTATTCCCCGAGAGGTAGGCTGAGACTAGTACAAGCGGCCTGTGGCCGGTGAGCGCTAACCTACACGCGGATGCCTCTATTTGACTTAGCTCTGGAATGTCGAGCGGGCAACAGTGCAAGGACCGTTTATAATAAATTAGTGTGCCTCCCAGACGGTTTGCTAACCGATCGTGGCGGACAATATTGTAATTTGCGATTCTGGGATCGCGTACGCTAGGCTTCAAGAATGTCTCTTGCACTAGAAAAATGTCTACATTATAATCGCGAAGGAATTCCGCGATTTCATCCCTTTGACCCTTTACACCGTACATGTCATAGAAGTATAATTTTAAAAAGAGAGAGAGAGAGAGAGGGAGGGAGAGAGTAGAGAGAGAGAGTAGCGAAATCTGCCTATACGTGACGCGTGCGCGCTTGAAATTTAATTTCCGTTTCTCGTCAATTAATCGAATGCCACCTAAGAAGTTTCACCTCAAAAAGTTCTTTTCTACGGCCGTTCAGCCTCCGAGCACACAGCCGTACAAAACGCTGCGAGACGCATGGAGAACGGCTAGCAGATTGCCACCCACCTGCACGCGCTGACACCGTATCAGGCTCTGCGTGTGCGTGAGTATCCTCAGCACCATGTGCTCGATCGTGCTCTGCTCCTCGAAGACCATCCGCGCCAGGTCGAGCAGCACCTGGTTCCGTTTCACCTCGAGCTGCGAGCGCTCGTAGAGCTGCGCGTTCCGCAGGCCGATGCCGCAGAACTGGAGGTACGAGGCGAACACCTTCTCATCGTTCGCCGTGAACGGGCCGTCGCTCTGTTTGTTTATCACCTGAAACAAGCGCCGATTGATCGGAATGTTCCAAGTTCAAACGCCACGTTCAAGAACACGTATGTCCCAACGGTCGGTTTCAAGTAAGTATTATGGAGCCAACGTAACGACCGCCTATCGCTAGTAAGCAAATCTATCAGTAGATTGAATATTGAAACCGGCCGTAAAAAGTCTGTACCAACCTTACCGTTACCTATTTTTAAACGCCCCCATTGAAAAAAACACTTTTTTGGCTGTGAACTTTAAAGACCAGAGACTGACTGTAAAGTGAAGGGAAAGAAACTAGTGTTTCGAATGGTGTCCCGTTTCTATTCTTAATTAGTACTTTTTATTGTTTGTCGTCTTAACAGTTATTTCCTTCTTTTCTTAATGACTTCCTGTACTGTACTCATGGCTTTACAAACCGTGGAAATAAATTTTCCTATACTTTTTGGATATACCTTCATAATTTTGTCCCTCGATGTTTTTTTGGTAGCGAAATCGCACCTCGAATATTATAAATCAATCTTCATATCATAAATTGCTCGTCCTAAGTGCCATTAAATTATAAGCAAGCATCGGGCAACAAACAATGAAACATTTTTCAAGACCCCGCATCCACTTTGAATAATACGTAAGTGCAAGAATTTTTAATGACATTGTATCGACATAAAAAAAAACATGTGCCGCTCTTTGAGGAACGAAACGAAACGGAATCAAATGTTATATAAGTAGAATTTTTTTTTATTAATTAATACTTTGAGAAGAATATTCATTATATGTGAATTAGGTATATGAGTGTATTATAAATACAAAAAATACTTAATAAAACCGAATCTAACACCGCACGCGGCGCTCGGGGTGCTCCAACTTGCTTAAATCTAGCGTGTGTTAGAAAGAGACAGAGTGAGTCCCTGAGAGTCGAACGTGACCCTTTTATGTCAAGTGATGATTTCTACCAACTCACACCCCCTGCAAGCCGCGTAAAGTAACTCTTTTCAAATATCAATTATTATCAAAAGAAATTTGCATCATTCGAATTATGGGTTACTTATAAATATTGAACTCAATTGAAATTATACAGTTTCCTAGTCTGTACAATTCATGAAATGTTAAACATTACAAAGAGCATTTTTTCACTATCGACGATAGTGGAAAATGTAAATATATGGGCCATTCTTGTTCATTTGTGCTTCATAATAGATGTTTTGCGCTTTCAGTCCGTAGACTATAAAAAGCATCATCAGACGAAGAGCTCTGGAAAAACTAAGTTTTCACCAGCTTGATAGACCCTACCTAAGAAGAGTCACGCATGCGTGCTTTAAAAGAAGGGGCTTGCCGGTAACGGGACCTCGTCGTCCGCATGTCAGAACGTGACAACGACAGAAAACTATGTACCTTGTGTACGGTATGTGCTGGTTTCGCCGTGCTCGTAGGCGAGGACTAACTACACTATGTTTTATATTAACGCAACGTGTTATCGGGCGGGATCCTATTTAATTATTACTGTGGACCAAAAATATGATGTACAAAAATACTTTACTCTATGGCGCTCTAAATATGCAAAGACTATAGTTACTATAGGTAGACTATAGACTCCGTTCGTATAGATTAATTTGGCAGCTAGATTACATATTTGATTGCATAGGCCAAGTGCAAAACCAACATTACCTGGGCAACACCGATTACTTCACCGTTGATGTCCTTAATCGGCATACAGAGGAGGGATCTCGTTTTATAGCCCGTTTGCTGGTCGATATCGTGGTTAAATCTCTCGTCCTGTAACAAAAATAATGTTATTTGGGAAATTGGTGTAGCTCTGATAAAAGCAATTGACCTTACTGCTGGGAAGTAAATCGAGCGATGGTTTTATATGCGAAGACGCCAAGCGAACTGGCGGTTCTCTGATGTTAAGTGATAACCGCCCATGGACATTTACCACAACCGTTGAGTTGATGCAAACAGATACATAAATGCGTTGCTACCTTTTTATAAAGTGGGCTCCGGTTACCTTAGTTTCCATGACGGACCTACCCATTCGTGCAACAGTGAAGACTGTTGCGTGGCCTACTATACTCAAACGATCAAATTTTATTATTAGGAGAACGAATCCTATGTTTCTTTTGTACAGAAATCACTGCCCTTTGTGCTACCGTGTACGGCGATAAGACTCACGGCCTGTCCTAATTGGACTCGTTTGACACCTTCTCAAAATTAAGGAAAAAATAAATAAATTTTATTTGATTAAAATTAATACTTGTATTAAACGTATTAATGAATTTTTTAACTCGAAGTACCTAGCTCCGTGGCCTCATGACCAACAATTTAAGCCTTGAGAGTTCAATGATAACCCATCAGTAGGCGGTGGCCTATTCCACAAGTGCCGCATTGTAAGTCGAAATGACAAATTTATATTCATAGCATGATCTCTTCTAATTAAAACGCGGTCATTGACATTTTGTTCTCGCTGTCGCCAACAAAGTTTGGCGGGGACATTGGAAACTATAATACGCCGCCTTATCACAGACTTTAATTCCCTAGCAATATACAAATTAGGCGATATTTATGAAGCACGTCATACTATATGTACTACATATTATATATAATTTATTTAATTCCTCAATAGTAAAGGCAAAATTACTCGTGTCAAGAAACTAGATTGGTCAAAAGCGTCGAAGCAAAAATGCTCGCGTCGAATCATCGTCTTGTGAGTTCACGAAAATATAAATCGACTAGCGATATCCGCATCAGACATACTTAGTTTCAGTAGAAACTAGATCAAGAGGGTAACCGGAGCGCAGTGGGCCCCGACCGCAAACCGCGGGTAGGCCTCTAAGTACGAAAAGCGGACTCTAGTATCTAATTGCTGCCACTCGCACAATGTATGTATGTACACCGATGTAGATTATTTACAACAAAATGCATTTGAAGTCTATAATCGAACAAATCAAGATTAAACAATTAAGGTGAGGAAAAAATTGCAGAAATAAAGAAAATTTAGCATAACGACACTTAATATATATATATATATATATATATATATGATACTAGGTGATCCGGCAAACGATGTGTTGTGGAATTTTGTAAAATCCGCTTTTAGCTGACCTTTACTTGGCGAAAGGAATATATCTGTCATAAAATGTCATTCATTTCTTTAGCAATTTAATTGGGACCATGTCTGACACTGAAAAATATATATAATTTGACAATTACTTGGCATCAATTAGTATTCATTAAGTATTATCATTAAACATAACACCCAAATAAGATAAAATGAAATTTATTGATTTCACTGCAAAGAAAATTGTTTACAAAATCTGCATAGCTAAAACTGTTGCTTAGCCAGATGAAACTATGTTCAAATGGAATACACAAATGGACATATTAGAACCAAACTATTTCTCTATTAAATCTAGAGCACGAAAACGATTTCGCTCGCTCGAAAGGCTGTACAAATGAGATGGCCAAGGAGTAAGTAAATCCTAATATACGTTTATTCCAGAGACGGAGCGGCAAAGGAGGGCGAAACAAATCAATAGATCCCAGAGCAAGAAACAAACATTGAAAATTTATGATTTTATGAAACATTGATATTTATGTCTTAATACGTTGGTATGTTGGTGTACTAAGATATAGCGCGGGAACGAGAGTTTGTCCGCAGGTAACCGCATTCGGGCTTATGGCTGAAAGCCAGCCGAGCCCACAAGGCTCAGTGTGTGATCACGTGTAAATGAAACTCTTTACGAGGCGTGACACTCGCAATATTTATAGCAGATTGATATTTCATCAATACAGTTGATTTATAAGGATGACTCGGTGGCGCAAATGCTAAGCTATTGGCTTCGGCCACGGGGATCGTAGTTCGATTTCCACACGGGACAAGTATTTTTGTGACTGGGCGATTTGGGTGTTCCCAAGGAAGGTGTATGGCCGTCAGGTAGACGGCCGGTAGTAAAAAAGACTCGCCAATATAATTATTAACATGTGCATTGAACCCACCTAGGTGGTAAGGTAACGGCGGAACATTGCAAACAGTTCAATAATAAACAACAATTCTCACATCACGCTAAACAATCGAACAATGACAAAAAACTGAAAACAAATCTAACGCACTTATTCATTCCTTAGCTCGAATCCTCGAAGCACTCGCTCATAATGACACGGGGCTCTGTCACAAAGAAATTAACAAGTCTTTGTCAGAAACGGTGAATAATTTTAAAGCGTGCGGCTTTCCAATTATTCACCGCTTTCGATCGCACGCTTTCTACGCTTCTTCTTACTACGCTATTTCGTGTTCCAGCATATGCTTCGGATGCCTTGATGTCAAATGCGCAGATTAAATTGGGATTGCACACTAGTAGTCGTGTTACAAAGAAGAATCAGGGAAAGAAATTAACTATATCATTCTATAAAAAGACTATTGTAATAAATAAATAAAGCATCAGTCGCATTAGCTTCGGATTTAGTGGACGGAAAATATTGTTGTTCAAAATAACTGTTATGAATGATGTGGGACGATAATATACTCGCAAAAAGTTTTACTTTTGGTATAATGTAAATATTTTTGATGACTCGGTGGGGCAGTTGCTTAGCTTGTGGTGTGGTGGCTTCGGTGCTGAGGGGCGTGGGTTCGATTAACAAACGGTACAAGTATTTGTGCGACCCACAGATAATAATTGTTACAGATCTGGGTGTGTGTTCCCAAGGAGGGTTGACGTCAAAACCACTTACAAAATGATTCACATGTTGTGCCTACCCCACCTAGGTGGAATGAGGGTAGGATGATGATGAAGATGATGATGTAAAATATCGAAGTCGCAGTGATTTTAAAAATCGAAACCGTGTGAATCAATTAATTTCACAGACACTAGTATCGGGATCGAAGAAAAAAATATATATTTTCTTGTTCTTTGGTATAAAAGTGTATTAGAATATATAAAAAGTTTATACGTGTTTAAATAAACCTGAGTATGTATTTGAATACTTTTAAAAACACGAGGCTTGCGTTGAATATTTTATAAAGTTGCATGACACGAGGCGTTGAAGCATTAAAAGGGTTCTCTAGCAACTCGAAACTAATTCAAGTTTAACTTTGCTTAGTTGAAACTTTATGTAGCGTCCAACTTTGAAAGTCAAAGACCTGAATGATCTTCTTTAGATCCGCGTTGTTTAAAACAAAAAAAGTGGTCCTTGCCCATTATACACCCGCAACCGCCGAGTAGGGCTCGAAGTCGCTGAGAGTTTGTAAAAGAAGCTACTTACTTCAAATAACTTGTGAATGTTTAAACACGATTTTCGATAAAGAGCAAGTTCCCTTAGTATATAAGTAACTTATTACTTCTATTAATCTTATTCCCTTAGTATATAACTTTATTCCCTTAGTATATAAGTAACTTATTACTTCGATATGTTAAATTTTTATTCTTAAATTATTTATAAATAAAGCTTATCAACTTTGTGCAGAAAACTGACAATTATTATGAGATTAAGAATTGCTTGCATTATATTATATTTATCAATATTAAATATATAATAACTTTACAAAGAAAACGTCCTAGTTCTTTTCATCTTTTACATAAATCTAAAAATATCAGTAAATTACGTATAATCAGTACTTGCACAATTTTTAGTTCTTAAAATTCCTACGCAGTATTTGTTTTTCCGTTGTATTATTTAACACTTATTTAATTAGAAATCATTTTAGTTATCTTCCTATCTATATCTATATACAGGAAGACTTTTAAAGGTGCCCAAATTTAGACAGGAGGTTCAGACTCGTTAGTATAATCGTTTATTGAAATAAAGACGAACTTTTTTTTTCAAAAAAATTACAATTGTTTTCCCTAAAAAACAGAACTTGTTGACAACGAGATAGTCATTCATAAATGCCTAAATTTTACTGTTCACGCACACAAACGAACTTGTGTGCGTGTTAGTTATGTATGATCGCGCGTAAAATAAATTAGTTGCATATAAATCATGCACTTTTTGAGATAAGTTCAAATGAATGTAATTAATAACTTACTTATTTACGTCTAGAATTTAATTTAAAAAAATGGATACACTTAGAAAAGCCTATAAGTATATCATTTCTCAAAGGCTTTTTGTCGGTACATCATAACTCCCATAAATCATTAATTAATAAAATATAATGTACATTAATAAATAAAATAATTTCATTAATTAATACAATAATTATACACATCATTATATGTGGCTGTGCTAAAATTTCGCACGGTTCAGCTAGTTGCATTAAATTCTAACAGTAAATATCGAATAAATGATGTTCATAAGCGTTTTAATATCTTACCTCTGTATAAATCATGAGTTTTTTTCCTTATCACTGAGGAAAATTAAATGTGTTACGCAAACACTAGGCAACCTTCGGATTTCAATATTGTTATTATAATCCGCATATTTGTAGTGCCTACCTCAATGCGAGCTCTTGGAACTTAGAAGCGAGTATACGTCGATTGCCAACGCGTCCGAGATTGACAAAGCATCCGAAAGAATTGCGAAGCAATGAGCGTGACTTCGAATCGCATTACAAATGGGGACCACACGCAGTGGACGGATAACGTTTAGGAATCATGAATATTAATAATCTCTTCTCGGCACTACGAGGACGACAAATTCAAACAATGAGTGTATCGAATGGACGCAATTATTTACTCCTGAAGACGAATACGAACTCAACATTTTACAGGCTTATATTTAAGCTTCGCCCCGGCTTCGCACGGGTACAATGTATTATACATATAAACCTTCCTCTTGAATCA